GGCTTTGGTGGAAAGTAAAAACTGTGGACTACTCTGAAAGATTGAAAACCAAGGTTCAGGATACTAAAATTGATGGCCTGATAACCAGACTACTTTTAAGGATAAAATTGTTCTGGGAAAAATTAAGACAGATTTGCACATCTTTCCGAAAACAGAAGTTTAGATAGTATTTATATTGTTATCCTCAACGGCGAGTCTGTCACCAATCCGGACCAAAACTCATGCTACGTTGGGTAAGTGGGTCTGTGTCGCTGGCGATACCAAAGGTATGTGTGGTGATAATTATCTTAATCTTTTCCTTGGTTTAATTAGTCTCCTCTTCTGATCTCTCCTGTCAAACTATAGGGCGGCGAATCCTCTCTAGAACAGCTAAAAGACAAATAAGGTAAGTTTATTAATTATCATTGCACTGGTACAAGCAGTTGGGTTTTGCAAAAGTAGTATTTTATTAATTGCTTCTGTCTCTCTTTTTTACATCTGAATATTACTGCTATTTATATGACTGCGACGCGTCTCTAAATCTATCGTCGCGTTATGCAAAAGTACTAAACTTTGACAAGCTTTGCGCCCATCAATCATGCATAATTGATGCATGATCGATGCCCCATGCAGCACCGTGCCGGACCCCACATGTCATGTCATGCCCCCTACTACAAATTTGATGCTAACAATATATAACATTAAGTTAGTGATATATAGCTAGCTATATATAGATAAGTTAACTATAAACATATATGTATAATACTTGTTGGGTATATATGGCACTGCCTTAAAAAGTTTAATAGGGGGATTTAGCAAGTATAAATGTAATAAGCTATAGTATTTGATATATGTATTATATATTTTCATATATCAAAAACATATATTTCAATAAAAGATATGGATCAGAAGCCAAAGAAACAGGAATATATGACACAGAGGAAAAAACAAAAATAGTAAAAAGATGGGCAGAAAAAATAACAAAATGGTTTACAAAATACAAATGAAACACAGAACACAATAACTATACCAACATATTATTTACTAACACTAGTGAAGCCTTGGCACATTAGTCTTTGATTGCTTTTCAATAGCTCAGGCTAAAGAATAAATCAAATAGCTCAAAGCCAATATTTAGGAAACCTGATATAATCGAATATATAAAAATAGAAATGAAATTATAATATAAATTGTAAATTTAAATGTAAACAACAAATGTAAACATCATAAATTATTGTAATAAAGTATATTGGGCAAGACCTGGCTAGTTAAAAAAAATAATAATAATAAATAAATAATATAAAAATCAAGTAATTCAAGTTTTTGAAAAATGATTTTTATCAATTTCTCAATTTCAAGGCTTAAATATAATGAAAAATATATTTGATATAACTTGTTTAACTATTGATAAATTGTGAAATATAATGAAAATAATAATTTTTCACTGGATAATTTATATAATAATTATAGAAAGTCAGGAATAAGCAATAAACAATTATATCAAGTTTATTATAAATTTCTTTAAATATATATTGCATCTTAAATATAATTGTTAATAGGAATTCTATAGATAAACTTAAAATAAGTTATATTAAATCAAATTAATTATATTTGTTTTAATTAATAATACCTTCTATTATAAATATTTATTAATAATTGAACTCAAAAATTTATTAAAATATTTGCTCCATATTCACAAAGTAATTTGTGATTATTAAAGCTTTACATCTGGTGTTATTATTTAATACCTACAATAAAAAAATATGGGGCAATAAATACAATAGATTTAAATTCTTTAGTTTTAGTTAATAATGTTTACCAGAAATTGTAAAAAATTTTAATAACTAAATTTTCTAATAATATTACCATATAAGTTGACAATGTGATGTCCTAAATATATCAAAAGTTTATACTAATTTTGACATTAATGGCTTATTCACACAGAAGCCTCGTTAACCTTATTAATTACTAACATTATTATTTTTGCAATAGTTTGTAAATCCATCTAATGTTATTATAAGTTACAACCATAATTATAAGTATACTTTCTATTGGTATACTATTCTCATAACTTGCAGCAATATTATTATCTTCATAAAAATAATCAAAAATAAAAAAATTTTAAATAAGTATTTAATAGTAATTAATTGGTGAAATATTTTAATCATAAATCTTTTTTTTTAATTGTTATATAATAAATCAATAATATTATATTATATTTATTCAAAAAACTATTATACAGTATATTGATAAAATTATTATATAAAATTTATATGTTCTTTCAAGAAAAAGCCAATATTTTTTATTACATAACTAATAATGCTAATAAATCCACATAATAATTACATAAATTATAAATTTATGTTCATCTGTGTCCCTTACATCATAAAATATAGCCAAGTTGAAATCACTTAAACTGTGGATTATTATATATCAACCTCTAGTACATTGTAGTATAAGGCAAATTTTTTTAAAAGAAGCATTAAATACTTTAATATAAGAAGGACCATTTATGGATAAATGTATTCCTTGATGTAATTCCATAATAAGTTGATATCAATGCGATGAATTTTTAAAATATATTATTTTAACTGTAATTTAAATATGAAAGTGAGAACATAATAACAGTAAATTGCTAAAGCATAGCCAATAATGCTTTGCAATTGGTTGCTATTTTCAGAGACTTATTTATGTAAAATCAAACAAAGTAACAATATTGTGCTTCCCATGCATTCAAGATTCAAAAGGGCGTAATAAATTTACAACATATAAAGGATATTGACGAGGGACTTAATCTAGTGTTCAGATTTATGTACTTTGTGGTCAAGGTAAAAAAGAGCATAGAGATATTATAAGCAGAAGTACAGAAGAGAAATCTATTATCAAGAACCATAGGGTGATTCTTTGAATTATGTCCCAAAGGGTACACACTTAATTTCCATATCTGCGAAGCAATTTATATGATAAGTATTTTTATTTATTTTTCACATATACAATTAGTCTTTCAGAATAAGCAATTGAAATTTCCAGTTTCATAAGTATTAATCAAATATTAATATTTCATATTTCATAAGCGATACAAAATATGTATATCCAAAAACCTGAATGTAATACAAAAACAATAACTTTGGGTGAGTTATTTGAATTGGTTAGGCATTTGAAAAGTCAAAATAAATAATCCAAAAACAAATCATGAAAATCAATGAATTAACATAATAAATTAATACGCGGTGATTATATATATTGGGAAGAAGAAAGATTCCTGGTCCTGCCATTTAATGAAATGACAATATTAAGAAAAATGTCTACCTTTTGTATCTAGTAAGATTTTGGAAATCGCATTTAAGCCAGGAAGGAGCGTGATGCCAGGGTAAGAAACTAGAACGAAAGAATAAAAGCTTAAGCAAACTTCAATATCGGAACTGGCTTCTTTGGTTGTGGATAATCGAACAAAGAATGGTAAGGAAGCGATACCAGAGGTGTTGTTATTCAATTCAATATCAGCTGTTTATTTATATAACACCAGTGAATCAACAAAATAATACCAGCGCCAAGACAACGAAAGGGTACTGAAGGTATCCCATAAAGAAATAGATAATTTTCTTCCTGAAGAGCCGATACTAAAGGTTCACCTGTCAATTTACCTCAGCTTTGTCAAAAATATCCAAGAAAAGGAGCCTGATCCTTTCCTGGATTCGAAAATAAGAAAATGGTTAGTAATCTGATGAGAGAGAGGAGTAGGGGAAAAAACATAAACTCAAGAGCCTCCCAGCAATGCCTCCAACATCTTTTAAAGAGGAAAGCTCAACATTCGAAGCATAAACGTTCATAACTCACCTAGGATAAAGAAAGAAAAACAGAATGAAATGATTATAGAGCACTGAGCCTGAGTCACTATGTGATTAAAGAAAAAAAATTCCATACAATCAGAAAGTGGAGCAAGGTTTGAGACATGAGCTATCTGTTTTTACCAAAGATGGTGATATCGAAAACATAGCTCATTTGATATTCAAATTCCCGAATTCCACCTTGAGACAATTTTAATGAGATCTAATAAAATTACAGTACGATACAAAGTATAGCTTATTTATTAATAAAGGTCGAGCAAAAGGAGAATCTATGTTGGCGTTGTTTCTATAAAGTATATGTAGATCGGGTTGAAGACTGTAAAGCTATGAAAATATCAATGACCAATCAGCGAGAACATTGGTGCACAACGAATTAAATTGCTTCTTCCCGACATTACTAATATAAATATACGTCAGAAAACCTTCATAGCTAAAAAAAATTTACACGCTATTTACAGGTATAGCGATAGATAAGATCAAACGAATTACCTATAGTACGTATGCCATTTCATGTCTAACTGATGATCAAATTCCAAAAAGCATACAAGAACAACGAAGATAATGCCGACGATTGGAACTTCTGTGGTTTTTCTGATGACGAAGGTTATTATTGTGATTTAAATATCGGTGAAATTTGTATAAAATCGTATCGTTCAATCTGCGCATACTAAATAAAGAAAAGTGACTAACCTTCACATATTTTTCGTGCCGCCAAATTTCTCGTACATATTCTGATTCGACTGATCATGAATTTCATTTCCCATTAGTTTCGTCATAAGATTACCCAGTCCAAGATAATCCGAGATATTCGATTTTTTCTTATATCTCTATAATCAAGATGCAATAAAGGTGCGGTTGAGTTGCAGTAATTTTTCTTCTATATGATTACTGTATATGAAAAAGATATACCTCGGTTGAGTCGCGTTAAAATTTTTGTATATACTGTAGATCTACTGCTTGTGCTGTACTGATTGATTTATGATTTTTAAACAATCCAAATCAATTTATGATCGTGACACAATCACTAGCCTGCTAAATTTCAATTTGCAGTATCTCCTTTGTTCGAACTTTTAGCACTTCTAGTAATGTTCTAAGTTTAAAACCACTGCGTGAGTAAATATGTGTAACAGGTATTTCTCTAACTTCACAGAGCTATTCTTTAGTAACAACGTTATGTTGTTCAAAAGAGAATGCCTGAATGCCACTATTATAGAACCTTATGGTGGGAAAAAGGCGATTTCCATCAAGAAGCAAATTGGGAAGAAGAAACGTGAGTCCCTTCTCTACTTGTTTGACAATGACATTTGTTTAACTAGTGGCTGATATAAGTTGTTATTCACATATATAAGATTACCTTATGTGCTTGCTACGGACATCACCATAGAGGATTATGAACAACGTACAGAAAAGTTTAGTATACATAGATGTTGGGAATGGTCAGATGGAAAAGTCATTATCTATGAACTTCCTTCTATGTTACACGAAGTTTGCATTGGAGCAATCACTTCCGACTAATTGAAAGTTTGATTCCCGTGAAACGAACCAATGTCGATATTTATAGCTTTGGATATACTAGTAAGTATTGATGTTATTATAACATATTCTCTGTTTGTGTATGCATCGCATTGATTTGTCTCTTAAAGGAACACGTGAAAAAAATCGTGGAAAAGAAGCCGATGCATCATTTCGTCCAAAAAAGCCAGCCGTAACTGCTCCAAATGGGAGTGATGGGAATGTAATTTCTGTTCTTTTTATTGTTTTGAACTTTTTGAAGCTAGTAATTTCATATGCATTTTTTATTTAGGATCTGCCTTGGCCAAATTTGGCCGTGGAAGTAGCCTACACTGAAACATTAGATCATGTCGAAGATGCATTGCGCTACTGGTTAAGTCCTGGTCGCGCCCATGATTGTATTATTGTAAAAATTGATCCGGTTCCCCAAGGTCAAGTACCTACCCGTATGAGAGTAGGTTATATTTATACAGGTAACGTGATCAACATATTATTTGACTAACGTTCTAAAATTTGATCATTGTAGGCTTGGCATTATTGTGTCTCAGCAGGTAGAGGAACAAGAAATACAGTTCCTCTTGTAACTACGGTAATGTTAGACGATAGTGATTTGTTTTTCTATTGACATATTAAAAATATCTAATGTATGTATAATGATTATTGGTTTGAATTTGGAACACAAGATGGAACTGGAGCTCAATTAAATATTTTGCAAGGTCATTGCATCATAAATGTCTCATTAAGTTGCATTTATCATGACTTGAAGCAATCTACATCCCCCACACATCCTACACAAATCCCTCGAAATCTTTTGCCTGATCCTATTTCACTGGACTTCTATTTTGTTCGACGTGCCATCACAAAAGCATTTGACATTCATTAGGACTTCACACAATATCGTAGCCTTGCTTTAACAAATTTTTCGTATTATCTGTTCGGGTTTATCTTAATTGCTAAGCATTTTATATACTGATAAATTCTGTTATCAATAACTTGAAAATGCTATGCTACTTTGAAATCCCTCATTAATAAATTTCGCAAATATACGACATGTAAAAAAATGGAATTCTTTTTTCTGTGAAAGTAAGACCCAGGGTCGTACAGCTATGTGATTTTTTCACTCTGGCTCTGAGCACATTAAAAGAAATAAAATTGTACAAATACAGCACTTAAAGTTTTGCATTTACTTAATAAGACCTAATTCTCGAAGATGTTCTGGAATAACCATATATGAATCTTTATAATACTAGACATACCTTAAAGCAATCCAGTTTTCTTAGCACAATTCATTATTGAGTTGATCCTGTTCCTGCTGTTTGATGAAATTATTTGAATCTTCTCTATGAAAGAATTCGATATATTTCTCATGTTGTTGCCTCGTGCAAATCATACTGGGGATAATAAATATCAAGTTCTAATCCAGACATTCTCAATTTTTAGCTTGAGAAAATTGTGTTACAACTTCAAGAGTATATCGACCTACCTACGAACACCATGGACACCATCTTCGATATTATTAAGATTTTGCAAACCATTCATGTTGTTTATCACGACTCCAATGCAATAGCTCTTTACAATTAATATTCGACCCAGAAAGACATTGTCCTCCATGATATTCAGCTATTTGTATTGCAATATTTAAAGATAATTTTGAACCATTGATAATTCGTAAACTGTTATTCTCAATAATTATTTTATCTTTAAAATATTTGTTATCATGAGGAGGAAATCAATTACTGGAATATGAAAAAAAAACTTTTGATTCTCTTATGTAGGAAATCACAAATAGCATGAGAAGCAGTCAATAAGAAATTATAGTGTATGGTTAAAGAGAAGAAATAAAATTGAAAAGGGATAAAAAATATTCTAATTATCTGAAATCTTACCCCAAGATCAAAAGGTTGGTTCCATTTCTTATAAAAATACAGAGTTCTTTTTTTACTCTGGTTAAATAAATTCCTGACTCTGTAAATTTTTATCAAATATATTAATAACATTACATTAATTTTTTGTATATTATCTAATAATATCAACCGAATAATTATATATATTACTGCAATTGAAGAGAAAATTGTAATATAAAGTTTTTCTTATTAATTTTGAACAATGAAAAAAGATTGTATTTTTTCAGATTTAATAAATAAATCTTTAAAAACAATTCCTGTTTCTTTTTTAGATAAAAAGTCATTAACATTTGGAATTTTATTGGATTTTATGAATTATAACAAATTATTGGAAACTATTTACAATTATTATATAATATTTTCTTAAATATACTGTAATATCTGGACTTGTTAATTTAATATTTAATCAAAATTTAATTATTATTTTTAATATAATTTGATATTTGATTAAATTAATTATTATTTTTTAATATATTTTATCTTTCTTTTTATTAAATATTGATATTGTAAGAGAAGAGTTACATTGTCATATGAATTAATGTTATCATAATCACAAATTTCTCAAATCTGAATTATCTGAATTATAGTTATTTTATTTCTTTTTTAAATTTCTTTAATATGTCTTTTCTTAATTATGGTTAAAATAGTTGATATAGTAATTATAGTAAAAATAATTAGAATACTTATTATAATTTTACTATAAAACTAATATATATATAAAGGAAAAATCAAATATTTAATAAATCTTTAACTTTTACAAAAGAAACTTAAAAAGTATATGTAGTTGTTTAAATAATTGTTTATTAATTAATTGTTAAGTTTATTTTATAGTATTAGAAAGAGAAACTTGAATCAAATTACTGTGTCTCAGTCTTAAAATCTTAGTAAAAAGAATTGGATAGTCTTTTACAATATTTTTATTTTTAATTAAAAGATTAATAACTTTATTGTTTTTTTTGATTTCAGTTATCTAAAAATTTCTAAATTGAAAAACTATTGAAAACAAAATTATTGTTCTTAAACCTTTTTATATTTTTATATTTATCTATATTTAAAACAATTATTTCAATTGAGTTGAGTTTTTTACTTATATATTAATTAAGTTAAACTATCATATATCACTGCATACAATACCCCCCAAATACTACCCCCACTAATAATACCAGGTAGTATTCAAGAAAATTGTTGCTTGATAATTGATTACTACCCGGGTA